GGGCGCCTGGACTGTAGTGGGCACAGGGTCAGGAGGTGACCGTCGCCCCGCAGCTGGGCTTGGCTGTCTTCACAGGCGTTCTGAAGTCACTGCCTTGTTTTTGGTTTTAACGGGTTCACAGATGATTCCGAGTTAAATTTCTTGGCCCGCTTGGGAAAGGGAGAAAATCCCCAGCACATCGTTGGTTGTTGCGCGTTTGAAACCTTGCACTGCCAAGTTCTGCCTGTGAAACATGTTTCGTAATACTGCCTTCCGAGCAAACCTAGCCATTAGTTTGCCCGAGCTCAAAGCCCCGGTTTAGTTTCTTTTATGAACAGCAGCGTAATGTTTCGGTTAATTGACCCCTACTCCTGAAAATCATAGGTGTAGCACCTGTTGAACGTTTACTTCACTTAGTACTTTTCACAATCATAGGAAAATAGAAGTGGTAGTGATTTATTCATCTTTCATTTTTAATAGATGCTTTTTTATTCTAAAAATAAGTACTGTTGAAGGAAATTTGGAGAATGCAGGAATGTTGGAAGGAAGCAGATGGAAAAAGAAATCAACCAGTGCCCTACCACTCAGGCTCAATGGCTGTTAACAATTTGGTCTATTTCCTTCCCATTTTTTCTGTTTATATATATTCACCTGGTTGTATCGTACTTCACAGGCAATTTTCCTTTTTTCAAGATACAGGATAAATCATGTTAATGAATGCAAATTGGGCATTGAAAAGGTCTAATAATTGGGTTTCCTCTCGCCCCACCCCCAAAAATTAAGTTGCTCTGGTGTGGCTAATTCTTTTAAAATATCAAGAGCTAGAAAGGAATGTGGTGATCAGCTACTTCCAACCTTCCCTGCAGTCGCTTTAATAATCGTTTCTATGACTGTTGATAGATTTCTATTGCTGATTTGTCAGTTTCTAAGTCCCTCCCTCACAATAAAAGTTTAAAAGTTAAACTCGGTTTTACTCTTAGTGACTCCAGCCAGAACCTAGTGTCAGAATCAGGCATTTTGTGTCAGGAGACTATTCATGGCTCTATTTAACTTTGGAGGGTAGCGTTCAATTTTCTGTTTTCCTGTTTGTATATGCCAGAAAGTCTAGCAGAATGTTTACAGGACCCCACCCCAATCAAAATGCTACACTGTTTTTGGAGGAGGATGGTTAGGACAGTAAGGAAGCAGCATCTTAATGACTTTAGCCCTGGGCATTATGCCCTGGCTTGTCCCCAGTATGTCAATTTATATTAAATTGTTCTGAGCAGATTTTAAATTTTACTTTATGAAAGCTTTTTCATTTCAAAAGAGACAGGCATTTTTCACCTTCTTTACTACTCAAGTGGAATCAGACAAGGATGAAATTTTATGTAAACATGTTAAATGTATTTGATACAGGATTCTATTTCTTTGTAGATTCAGACAAATCCAGAAATGATGCAGTGGAAGTACAAGTGAATGGAAATCTTATCAAAGAACCTGACCACATGGAATTGGAAGAAGGCAATGAGTCTGGACAACTTAACATGCGTGGAGTTTTTCTGCATGTCTTTGGAGATGCCTTGGGTTCAGTGATCGTTGTAGTAAATGCCTTGGTCTTTTATTTCTCTTGGAAAGGTTGTCCTGAAGGGGAGTTCTGTGTGAACCCATGTACCCCTGACCCCTGCAAAGCATTTGTAGAAGTAATTAACAGTACTCATGCACCAGTTTATGAGGCTGGTCCTTGCTGGGTACTATATTTAGACCCAACTCTTTGTATTGTAATGGTTTGTATACTTCTTTACACAACTTATCCATTGCTTAAGGAATCTGCTCTTATCCTTCTGCAAACTGTTCCTAAACAAATTGATATCAAACATTTGATAAAGGAACTTCGAAATGTTGATGGAGTAGAGGAAGTTCATGAATTACATGTTTGGCAGCTTGCTGGAAGCAGAATCATTGCCACTGCTCACATAAAATGTGAAGATCCAACATCGTACATGCAGGTGGCTAAAATCATTAAAGACGTTTTTCATAATCACGGAATTCACGCTACCACCATTCAGCCTGAATTTGCTAGTGTAGGCTCTAAATCAAGTGTGGTCCCCTGTGAGCTTGCGTGCAGAACTCAGTGTGCTCTGAAGCAGTGTTGTGGGACACGGCCACAGGTCCTTTCTGGAAAGGATGCAGAAAAGGCCCCAACAGTTAGCATTTCTTGTTTAGAACTTAGTGACAATCTGGAGAAGCAGCCCAGGAGGACTAAAGTTGAAAACATTCCTGCTGTTGTGATAGAGATTAAAAAAATGCCAACCAACCAACCTGAATCATCTTTGTAAGTCTTGAAAAGATGTGATGATTGACTATTGCTTTTAAGCTGCAAGAGGAAAAAACCTCCACTGAAATTCTAAGTTTGCCAAGTAGTGTAATTGAAGTCCTGTTCTGGTCACACAGTTAATTCTATTTTTGTAAGAACATAATGGGACTGCATAACAGAGTTCTATATTACAACTTTGTGATTGTTAGTGCAGAGTTCAGCTGTGCTGTAACAGTTTTGGAAAGCCAGTTTTAACACTATGTTACATTTTTGTTTAAGTATAAACTTTATATACATAATGGCATTTGATTTCCGTTTTCCCACGGTAAAAATTAATTAGGGGGATAAATAAAATTGTTACTGGAATTTCTCTGTTTTTCTTTCCCCCAGTGTTGTACTTTTGTTGATTAGAATTGTAATTGCTAGAACTTTAAGTCAGCAAGTTTTTCCTTTGATATTTTGGATAATTTTTACTTGCCCTTTGAGATCATTATCTGGCATCATGGCAGCATATTTTAAGAGTGACTCATGGATATTAGTAAGAGATCCTTTTTTTAAAATTTACATGGAGTATTTAGAACACTAAAGATCAGTTACTATGCTGTGTTCTCTATTTCTGAATGTTACTCTAATATAAACCGTGAGATAATTAAATTGTGAACTATAGTTTACACATGTGATAGGATATATGGGGAATAAGAGCAGGGAAGAAAGTTTACCAAACTAATTGTGTGTTAACATTCAGAAGACATTTCTAAATTATTTTGAGAGTTTCAACTCATGTTTTCTTTTACCAGAGTTAGTCTAAAACATGGACATGTTCACCAGCATTACTTTCTTTGAAAGACTGATACTAGAAACAGTGAAATGAAAGTTTACTCACAAAATACATACAATAAATATTTCTAAGGATGTTAATAACATGTTAAACATAAGCTATTAACAAGATCTTTTAAACTGTGAGTACTTAAAAATAATGCTGTTTGCAGAGTTAAAGTCATTTCATGGCGACCAATCATGAATGGATTTAAATGGAGCTTTTCAAATACAACTAACAATGCTTGTGCTTGCTAAGAGCCACTGATTTGGGAGGGAAAAAAATCTGAAGGTTAATGCAATTTTGAATATGAGATTCTTACAAAGCAAATTAATACTTAAGGCTAGATTCTGTAAGTCATCCTGTCTTGACATTGTTCAGATCCTCTAATAGTGGCTTATTTTGCAAAGATGCTACAATATCTACACAGGAAATTGTTCTTTACTTTCATTTTGCTATGGATTTTAAATCCATACAGAAATATTATTTTATGGTATTTAAGTTATATTTTTCTTGATAGAGAAGATATTATGCTTTGTGAAGAAACTGTAGATTTTTGTCCTCAGAAGGATGAAAATCGGTTATCACGTACAGCTCTATTTTTCTAGAAGCAAGATGTCCTGACGACTTAAGTGACTTTTATAGCTGTGACTACCTTTGGGATGGCAGCCTTTTGGGGTCTAAAATAATTCACTGTTTAGTGGGTCTTAAGATGAAAATTTGGAATTTGACAGTTACTTTTTAAAGGGATGATCTTTATGGTAGATGGTGTGTGTTTTTCTAGTGTAAGCCTGTTGCTGGCAATGGGCCTATTGAAGAACAGACTTGAGGTAATTTTAGGAACGTGGTTTGTAAGTTCTTATTTACTCTTAACGGGCCAAAACCATAACCTGCCAATATGCAATACATTTTGATCTTTTAATACTCTCACCTAATACTGTGTAATTCAATTCCTACACTGGTAGTTAGCTTGAATTTTGCAAAAGTGTTTGAGGTGTTTTGTTTTGTTTTTTTTACATGAAACTGGGGGTCTCATTATGTGGATGAACGACAGAGAGAGCACTGGAGATTGTACTGTATCATGTACATTTCCTGATTTAAGACTTTATAGAACATTTTATTAAGATCTCAAAACAGTTTATATTATAAAAGCATTTCAGTAATGAGACAATAGGATAACTGGTAAAATACATTCAAATGAGGTTTTCTTTGTAAATGCTGTATTTAGAATGCGTTTCTTAAAGGTGGTATAACACCTAAGCATAAGACACCAACTGAAGAAGACTTTAAGTGATGTGTAAGCACAGGACAAGGGCTCTGGTTTTGTTTTTTCAAGTGCTTTGAAGGTAATAGCCTTTAGGTCTTAGTTATTTACTTTTCATAATTATTTTTAAGTAGCTTACATGTAACAAAGTGGTACCATAGGATTTTCTTTTTTCAAAGGACTTTGTCATGATAAAAATCAGTGGGCACTGACTCGCCTTTGAGTTTTAACAGACTTATTTATTTCTTTACGATGCACTTTTCTAACCCATTGTTAGCGATACTAGCATTACTTTTAAAACATGCTTTTGTATTTAAATATTGTGGAATGAAGGTGTTTTCAAAATAGCTTATTCTTTCCTGAAGAAAATGAGTGAATAGCCTGGATTATTAAGAGAGTTAACCCAATATTTAAATACACTGTTTTATAACACTGCATCAGTTATAGGAGTTGCCTCTCTCCTGCTAGCTCTTTTCTATTTGAGCAAGATCAGTGTATTTAGACTATGTGTTTAGAGGCTGGTCTGTTGTCTCAGTTTAGTGAGAAGGAGGTGCTGCGTGTGCCTGAATTAAAACCAACTCTGAAATTTTTCCAAGCCAAATGCAGCCTTAATGGTGAGAGATTTAATTCTCTTTTGTTACCTTTTAGCTTATTATGATTAATTTTTTTGAAAGTGTCTGCATTTAAACTATAGAGTAGAACCTAATAAACAAAAACCAAAACTCTCAAAAACCTTGCTGTATGTATTTTAATGTTTTAGAAAATGATATGTTGAATACCTAAGGTATGTAATTTGAGTAGGAAAAATTTCTATCTAGCGCACCTTGGAAAAATCACTGTAGGTAGAAAAAGAAGTCTTTGTTAACGTGTTTTCATCTTGTTAACATCCTCAGCTGATTTTGAATTTTTGAAAGTTTTGAGGGAGACGACCTATGGAATCTAATGTGAAGTATTTAGTAGGTTAACTGGTACTGAGTTGAAGATTTTTGCTGTTTATAAACAGATATCATTTGAATGAGAGAAATGTCATTTACCTGCTGTCTTATTATGTTCACACATGCAAATATGGAGAGTAATTCTACAATATAAAAATATTTATTTTAATATTGAGTTTCAGCTAAGTCATAAAACAGTGTTAAAACTCTTGGGAAGGTGTTTTTTTTTTTTTATTTTATTTGTTTGTTTTTTAATTGAAACTGTCAAATACAGTGTTTGACCATCTCTGAAGCAGGAATTGTAACGCACCATTTTTATGTAGCTCTACCAATACTACGTGGCAATGCTGTTTTGTTTTACTAACACGCTCTGGAGTGTTCAGCCGTCATTTTCACTGGCACGAGAGCCTTTTGTATGTCATTCAATTTAAACTTTTAAACCAAAAATTTTATGGTCCAGTGTCTTTGACAAAAAGATGCTGAAGGGAATGTAACATACAATTTATCTGTGGTTATATATAAAAAGACAAATCGCCAAGTTATGGGTCTGCCTTGAAACAGCACGATGAAGTGTATCAGTGTGTGCTGTGATTCTTTATGAAGTTTTCATGTTGTGCTGTTCTTGTGTCTGCTGTTGCCTGTTCTTTGGGCCAGATGTGGCGCGGTTAAATGCAGTTATCATCTCATTAAATGCAGATGCAGATAAAATGTCTTTAGTGCTGCAACATTTTACCTGACTTTTTGTATGTTTTATGACTGTGTTATTTTCCAAAGCTGTTCCTACCTCACCATGAGGCTTTATGGATTATTGTGTATTATAAATGTTCTATATGAGACAGACTACTGTGTTTCTTCTCGTTTATTAAAAGTTAAGTAGAAAAATAAACTAATTTTAATATTTACTTCATTGGTTTCGTGCATATGGCCTCTCCTATTATGCTAGGCTGGGTTATATAGAAAAGAGTTGGACTTCAGGTATTGAAAGAGATATTACAGCTTAACACAGTGGTGTGGAAGAAAATGTGAGAAAAAATTGCAGTAGAAATCAAAAGGTTAACACTATAAAGGCTCGACAATATGAAATACTCAATGGCTGTGAAATTTTTTTAGTTATAAGCATTAAACTTAAAGATTAGTTAACCTGCTTTTAGTATTACCTTCCCAGGAGAAAAGGTCTTTCAAAAAGTATTTGCCAACATTCCCTAAAACATAATTTCATGTAGTGTGTATTACACAACAGGATGAGACTATCCTAAGAAAGTCAAGTGACAATGTTCTTAAAGACATCTCACAGACGTTTCTGAGCTTTCCATATTGACCATCATATTTGCCCCATTGTAGCCTATTATAAAAACCCATTGCCGTCAAGTCGATTCTGACTCAGTGACCCTACAGGACTGGGTAGAACTGTCCCATAGGGTTTCCAAGGCTGTAAATCTTTATGGAAGCAGACTGCCACGTCTTTCTCCTGTGGAGCGGCTGGTGGGTTCGAACCGCCGACCTTTTGGTTAGCATCCGAGCACTTTAACCACTGCGCCACCGGGGCTCCTTAGCCTATTACAGCCTTTTAAAAAGTAGCTTATGATACTTTGTTGCATTTGTTTCTTTACAAATATGTGAGGTCAGTACTATGTCTTGTTTATCTTCATTTTTTCAGGATCTGGCACAAGGACAAGCACGTGGTAGGCATTCAAGGGTGTTTGAATATTGAAGAATGGCAAGGGTGGAAGAATAGCCAAAATTTTAACCTGTAATCAGTTGCCATTAAATCGACTCGACTCATGGAGACCCCATGTGTGTCAGAGTAGAACCGTGCTGCGCAAGGTTTTCAATGGCCGATTTTTTGGAAGTAGATCACCAGCCTTTCTTCTGAGGCATTGCTGCGTAAACTCAAACCTCCAACCTTTCAGTTAGCAGATGAGCGTGTTAACTGTTTGCACTACACAGCGACTATGTACCAGGCTTTTAGATCTATTTCATTATTCCTTTTTTACAGACGAACAGATACTAAGCACCTTGCCCAAAGTCGTATAGCTAGTAAGTGATGGAGCCAGAACTGGAACCCACAGAAGATCTAGGGCCGGCAAGCAGCATGCTGTCCCGTCATTTTGGACCTTTAACAATTCATCAATAACTAAAAATAAAGAGTTCTTTTTCATTTTCACCCAACAAATAAGCAATAAGTAGACAAAACACACCAAGCCCTAGAAAACTGGAGCACCAAAAGAAACAAAGGAAAAAAAATATTTTTAAATCATTTGATATTTATAGAAAAGCATTGATGTAGTCATTAGGTGAAAAATCAGAATTTCCACCTAAGTCATAGTTTAGTATCATTGTCGTTTTTGGTTACATGGGAGAGGAAGAACGATCTTTTTAGGATTTAGGGTCTGTTTTAATCCAGCCTCGTGGACAAGCGCCAATGTTTACACCTGGTGGTGTTTCCCCTAAGCTCCATATAGTATGGTTTGGCTTATTAACTGCTTTTACTGGAGCAGGAAAACTGTGGTTTAAATCTCCTTGAGGTTCTACTGAAAACTGGCTCTTTCTGGGAATGAGGAACAGAGGCGATTGAGGTAAGTGGGGTGAGGAGACAGAGGGCTCTTCAGCGGGGGCGCTACTGGCATCTGGGTGAGACAATTGATCACGATGCAAAACTGCCCCGTGCATCAGAGAGTTTCACAGCCCTGGCCTCCTTCCACACAAGGGCCTGCAGCCGACCCCTCCCTTGGTCCCTTATGGGGATGGTCTGATGGTTTCAAACATCCCCTAGGGAAGCAGTATTGCTGTGTTGGGAACAGGAGAAGGGTAACCCAGTGGGTATGCATCCCTAGTCCCTCTCAACAAACCAAATCAAATGCTACATCTAGTCTCCTCATTTTACACGACTGAGAACATAAATCCTTCATGTTTTGTTTGAACTTCAATTTCACCCTCAAGCCCAGGATCCATGCCTCATGGATAGCCAAATGAAAAGTCTGAAGGTCTGATTTCTGAGGCTTATAACCCTTGATAAAAAGACCACCATAGAACCAGGTAGCCAGGAGCTCCTCTGATCTATTAGGAAGATTGTTCTGCCCAAAAAAGTGGTAGAGATGTAGCCACCTGAATTGGTCACAGAAACCCTTAGCTATTTCTTTTGAAGTATAAAGTAAAAATGAGTTTCTATAGGGTCGCTATGAGTTGGAATCGACTCGAAGACACAACAACAAAGCAATATAAAAGGGGCTCAAAGTCACTGCTTTTATTAAAATACGAATTTGAATACTCACATAAAAATTTAGTAATACTGACCCTAATTTTTCTTTCTAATGATGAAACGTCAAGGACAATATTGGGCAAAGTGTATCAGGATTTTTTAAAGCCTGGAACAAGTGTGACCTTCAATGTCATCTGCCCAGGGCTCTTGCATCAGGTTTGAGATATCTGGAAGATGATGGGGATGAGGCAGTGTTTATTGATAAAGCTATTGGGTCTGAAGTTTCTAATAAAAGTTAGTGAGTGAAAAAGTAGGTCACATTTTGTGGTGGCCAGAGTAATGCCCTCCCCTCAAAGATGTTCATGTTCCCAATCCCCAGAGTCTATGAATAGATCACCTTACATAGGAAAGACGACTTTGCAGATGTGATTAAGTTAAGGAATTTGAGAGGGGAGAGTATCCTGGATTATCTGGGCCTAATGTAATCATGAAGGTCCTTATAAGAGGTAGATGGGAATGTCAGAGTCAGAGAGACATGATGAAAGAGGCAGGGGTCGTGATCAGAGATTTGAAGGTGCTGCACTGATGGCTTTGAAGATGGAGGAAGGTGCCATGATCCAAGGAATGCAGGGGCCTCTAGAGCCTGGAAAAGACAAGGCAACAAATTCTCCTCTAGAGCTTCCAGAAGAAAGCACATCTCTGCTGACACCTTGATTTTAGTTTAGCCCAGAAGACCCATTTTGGACTTCCTAACTCCAGAACTGTAAGATAATGAATTTGACTTGTTTTAAGCCATTAAGTTTGTGGTCATTTGTTACAGCAGCAATAAGAAACTAATACACATGTATTAGTGCAAGTAAATATTGTAATTTGTACACTAAATTTTTATATTTACTATTATCCAAGACTTTTTATTTCACTGGAACTAAATTACAGGCTTCCGCACATGTCTGTCAGTTTCTCGTACTGTGGGGGCTTGCATATTGCTGTGATGCTGGAAGCTATGCCACTGGTATTCAGATACCAGCAGGGTCACCCACGGCGGACAGGTTTCAGGTGAGCTTCCAGACTAAGAGAGACTAGGAAGAAGGAGCCGGCAGTCTACTGAAAAGAATTAGCCAGTGAAAACCTTATGAATAGCAGTGGAATGTTGTCTGATATAGTGGCAGAAGATGAGCCCCTCAGGTTGCAAGGTACTCAAAATATGACTGGGAAAGAGCAGCCTCCTTAAAGTAGAGTCAACCTTAATGACATGGATGGAGTCAAGCTTTCAGAACCTTCATTTGCTGATGTGGCTCAACTCAAAATGAGAAGAAATAGCTGCAAACATCCTCTAATAATTGGAAGGTAGAATGTATGAAGTATGAATCTAGCAAAATTGGAAATCATCAAAAATGAAATGGAACACATAAACATCAGTATCCTAGGCATTAGTGAGCTGAAATGGACTGGTACTGGCCATTTTGAATCGGACAGTCAAATGGTGTACTATGCCGGGAATGACAACTACAAGAGAAATGGTGTTGCATTCATCGTCAAAAAGAACATTTCAAGATGTATCCTGAAGCACAACGCTATCAGTGATAGGGTAATATTCATACACCCACAAGGAAGGCCAGTTAATGCAACTAGCATTCAAATTTATGCACCAACCACTAAGGCCAAAGATGAAGAAATTGAAGATATTTACCAGCTTCTGCAGTCTGAAATTGCTATCAGGATGCATTAATAATTACTGGTGATTGGAATGAGAAAGTTGGAAACAAAAAAGAAGGCTCAGTAGTTGGAAAATATGGCCTTGGTGACAGAAACGATGCTGGAGATTGCATGATAGAATTTTTCAAGACCAACAACTTCTTCATTGCAAATACCTTTTTTCACCAACATAAATGGCAACTATACACATGGACCTCGCCAGATGGAATACACAGGAATCAAATCAACTACATCTGTGGAAAGAGATAATGGAAAAGCTCAATATCATCAGTCAGAACAAGGCCTGGGGGTGACTGTGGAACAGACCATCACTTGCTCATATGCAAGTTCAAGTTGAAACTGAAGAAAATTAGAACAAGTCCACAAGAATCAAAGTATGACCTTGAGTATATCCCACCCCAATTTAGAGACCATCTCAAGAATAGATTTAACTCGTTGAACGCTAATGACTGAAGACCAGATGAGTTGTGGAATGACGTCAAAGACATCATACATGAAGAAAGCAAAAGGTCATTAAAAAGACAGGAAGGAAAGAAAAGATCAAAATGGGTGTTAGAAGAGACTCTGAAACTTGCTCTTGAACATTAAGTAGCTAAAGCAAAAAGGAAGAAATGATGAAGTAAAAGAACTGAGTAGAAGATTTCAAAGGGCGGCTCTAGAAGACAAAGTAAAGTATTATAATGACATGTGCAAAGAGCTGGCAATAGAAAACCAAAAGGGAAGAACATGCTCTGCATTTCTCAAGCTAAAAGAACTGAAGAAAAAATTCAAGCCTCGAGTTGCAATACTGAAGGATTCTATGGGGAAAATATTAAACGACACAGGAAGCATCAAAAGAAGATGGAAAGAATACAGAGTCACTATACCAAAAAGAATTGGTCGATGTTCATCCATTTTAAGAGGTAGCATATGATCAGGAACTGATGGTACTGAAGGAAGAAATCCAAGCCGCACTGAAGACATTGGCAAAAAACAAGGCTCCAG